GTTACCTTTAAATCATCCTTTATGGCCATAAGACACAAGTTGGCTACTTATTCCTCTTTATTATTGCATGATTCATCATCACTGCATGTAGCTACATGTTCCTTGTGTTTCTTCTTCAAGGATCCATTCTTCTTTAATTGTGGGCATTCAAACTTGATATGCCCAAGCATTTTGCACTCACAACAAATAATAATATCATTATCCTTGGATTTATTTTTGAAGCCCTCCTTTCTTTAGAATCTTCTTTTTTTGTTGGACCTCATGAACCTTTCGAATCTTTTTGAAAATATTGTCATTTTTCAGCTTCAACATCTTTATTTGAGTCATGGTCTTCTTTTATAAACTTGAAGAAACACCAACCTTTTAATTCTTTTCCATTTCCTTCTTTTCTTTATCTTTCTTCTCTTGTTCTTCTTCTTCCTTCACCATTATCTCATAAATAAGCAAAGGTCCAATGAGCTCATCTAGATTGAGAGTCTTTAGATTTTTTGCTTCAACAATGGCGGTCTTCTTGGATTGCCATGACTTGGAAAGACCATAGATCATCTTCCTAACAAGCTTCTCATTAGGAATGACTTCTCCAAAGCTTTTGAGACCATTGACAATAACCAAAAATCGATCGGTCTTGCTTTTAATATCCTCATTCGGTCTCACCTTGAAGATTTCATAATTATGATTGAGTAGACTAATCTTAGTTTCTCTTACCTTATTTTTTTCCTTTGTGAGTAACTTCAAGTTTTTCCCAAATCTCCTTGGCATTGGAACAAGATGAAACTCTCCCATATTCATCGAGGCTAAGTACACAAAATAGAATGTATATTTCCTTCGCATTGAGTTGGAACAATCTCCTCTCTTCTTCATTCCATTTTGCCATCAATCTAGTTTGAGTGGAATGTCCACTCAAAATGATGCTCCAAGCTCCCAAATCACTAGCTTGGATGAAAAGAATCATTCTATTATTCCTATAGGAATAGCTGGCTCCAATAAAGAAAGAAGTATATCTTGTTGATATGATGCCGTCAAAGCTTTGTGTAAAGGCCTTATATGACTTACTTGATGACTTGCCTCTTCTAGGGCTTTTTCAAGAGGTGGTAAAACCTTTCAATGAGTCTAGCTATGATATCGATTTTTGAGTCAATCGAATCAATGGAATGGCCAAGAGGGGTAAATTGGCAATTAAAATAATAATGGAAGCTTTTTGCAAGAAAATGAAAAACTTGACACAAGAAATTTTATAGTGATTCAACTTCTTCAATGAAGTCTACGCCCACTACCTTAGCTTTCACACTAAAGATTTCAACAAATTCACTAATTTGTTTAAACCTTTTAGGATAAGGTGTAACCTTACAACACACTTAGACTTATACCCCAAAGTCTTAAGTGTACAAACCTTCCTAAGAAGAAATTACAAGTGAGAAAACTTTTGAATATCCTCACAAGATGATATGTTTTCAAATTGAAGATCTCACACACCCAAGAACACTAGAATGAAAAATACAAAGAATGGAATAGTGTTCTATGTAAGAAAGACAAAATGAAATACAAATTTAGCTCTAAATACTCTTTGATTGTTGGAATAGCTTTTTTGTCTTTTCTTGACTATTTGGGTAGCCCTTTTATATGTCATCATTGATTTCTAGCTATTTGGGGTTGTTGTAGGGAGTTTTGAGCCGTTTGGAGTAATAAATTCGTGCATTGAATGCAAACATGCACAGAGGTTTCAAAACCATTTAGGGGGTTTCAAAACCTGCCTTTAAAGTTTTTTAATATTGAATAGGGTTTTTGAAACCTTTAGGGGGTTTAACCTTAATGTTAATTTGGGTACTACTTTAGGGGTTTCGAAACCACATGGCAGTTTCAAAACCAGACCCAAAATTTGTTAAAAATAGCCTTGTTCCATGTTTAAAAAGTATTTTAAAACTTTATAAATTCCAAAAACGAATTTTAAATTTATTTTTGACATTTTGATCCTTAAAAGTATTTTTACAAACTTGAAAATATTTTTGAATCAAGTATGATAAAAATATCGATTTTAAAAAAAATTAATTTAGTTCTTTTGTTATATCAAAATAATTTAATTACATTTATCACATCATAACTTTCTACATATTAGTCTAAATATTTATGTTGCACAACTCATATTCAATATTCATCTATGCTACTCGACTAATTTTTACAATAAGGCATCATGGTGTAGTCGGAGGGTTCATTGCACCCGAGACTCGCACTCCTCTATCTTACCTATAATGCCCTTAGTACTTAGGGTGATATTTGAAACTATTGCATCGGAAACATACACCCTACTAATGTACTCTTCGCGAGTACTTGGGGGCATCTACGTTCTGTTAGCAACTAAAGTGCCTTGGCACTAGGTTAGATTTATCTTAATATTCTAGAAACAAAGATGATTGTCATACTGGCTATAGCAACTTGCATATTCTTAACACTCTCATAGAGATCTATACCTCTAAAACTGAACTTGAGATTACTAAATCTCTGTAGGATCGATCACACAAGCCCTCAACTGATAGCGAAAAAATATCCTTATAGTCTCATGTCTAACTTGAAAACCCACAAGGATGCTCCCTCAGGGAACACACAAGGATGGAGGGTTCTGCGGCTAAATAATTTCTTAGAGTTGATATTCAACTCAACAAGAGCAATCACCTATTCTCATATGGTTTTCACACATATCTAGACTCGTAACTCTAAAATCAAAGTAACACTTATGCTAACACATTCTCTTAGTTCATCTACTAAGTATGACTCAAGTCATTGATAAACATCTAATGTAAACATTGTTTATTCCCCTAAGGCCCACCAACTAGGCACTTGGATCTTCACTCCAGGATCCTCTACACGAATATTTTTCCTACTTAGTTTACTTGACACCACAAAAGAATGCTTGAACTTATGTCTACTAGAGTAACATGAAAAACTGAGATATTTGAAAACATACCTAACATCTCACTTGCAACATCAATGTCTTATACCTGGCTCACTATTATCTGAAAAGTTGGATTGCATACAGTCGAATCGGGAACGGGTCGATCTGCTCATCTACTCTTCTCTCGTAATATAGAATTAACACCTCTCTAGGTAGGATCTCCGCCATACTAATCTATTAGGATCGCTCTCCTAGGTTGAGCTGAGACATCTCCATCTGAACTAAGGCAATCCCTTACTATATGTGAAAAGGATCTTCTTCTATAGTACTTTTTAGAGAGTTTAAAGCACCTTCCTTGATGATTTTTGCCACATTGCTCGCACTCTGGATATCTCAATACTCTATCAGTGCCTTTAAAACTCGCTATAGAAGATAGAACTGATAGTCTCCTACAAGGCCATGTGTCTTACCCTTGACTTGACTAGAGTGACAAAATTGACGTCACTCTTCTCTACTCACGCAGATCTCTAACCCTCTCTGCTACCGAATATGATAGGTTTACTAGTATACAAGTCCTCATACATAGGATGCCTAACTGACCCAACAAACTCTTCCTCTTACTCAGACCCCCTTCACGACCTTAGTTTCTTGTGCCAACTTTTAAAATACCCTAGGCGGGTCTGTAGCCAACTTTGCACGTATATCAATGTGAAGTGCCTTAAGAAATTGCTTGTACCTCAAGGACTCAGTGGCAAGTAGTTCTAGAGCATAACAACTCAACCAAAGAAAATATATCTAGTACTCGTACACTAAGAGATCTCCCTGAACCAACTGGAAAAACTACATCCTCAACCCATGAATATGTGCTTTACCTATGTACTTGCCTCTAAACTCACTGAAAAACTAATCTCACGTAGGCAGTTTTGGCTATAGAGTCATCTCTATAGTCTCCTCTAGTCGATAGCATCACTCTTGAGCAAAGCGGTGACACACTCTAACTTACCCTCTAGGGTAAGGTGAAGTTACCTCAAAGTCCTCATGGTCTCTCTCAACCACTAATTGATCGAAATCATATCATCATCACTTGACCATAGAAGTAAACTGTCTTGTACCTCCTCATTCTCTTTATTGGGGATTCTATCTGGGATAAAGTACTCTGGGTGGTCGATTGAATAGTCTGCGTTCTAGGAATAGCGTCAATAATCTCTCTAAGAGTGGAAGTTAAAACTCTACAGAGGGTCACCTCTGTGACTCTCTCACCTAAAGGGACCCAAAATCCTCTACCCTAAGTAATAACCCATCACTGACGTTTTAAGAGTACATTCCTATCCATTTAAAAGCAATTAATACAATATATTTTTTTTAAAAATGACTCCAAAAATGTGATGCGATAGACAACATCAAACAAACTTCTCGGATATAGCCACTTCATATCATCACTTTGATTTAACGAGGGACAATTTCTATACCTCGAAGACTACTTATCTCCCTTCTCAAAGACCTCTGTACGGTTATATTCTTTCATCATAGTTTCAAACAACCTTTCAAATCAGCTTGTGCAAAGTGCAAACAAGACTTTTACACAAGATTTCTTACAAACCTAAGCAACCGGTGCGAAATCCAAAAGGCATGACTATTAGATTTGCTTAATATGCGAGTATACAAATATCTATTAGAACTCTCCATTTAGTATAATTAGACAAAATCACTATAAATCCCTCTTAACTATAGATGAAGAGGGAGCTTCTTCTTTTTCTCCATAAGTTCTCAACATCCGCTTTCTTACAAGAAAATAGTTAACCAACAGAGGTTCTTTTATAAACCGTAACTCTTCACAAAGATTAAAGGGACTGAATCACCACCGGTCGATAAAATAAATTTATTGTCGTTAACTTATAAGAAATTTAATTAAGAGATATTTAGAGTATAAAAAAACTGTGGGGTTATAGATTTAGGTAGATTAAAATCTAAAATAAGACAATACAAAGGCAAACAACCGAAAAAAGATGCAACAAATTACTTTTTTTATATACGTAAGAAAACAGAAAAAGAGGGAGCAAGGGCCTCGATATTATCACGTAATGCGTTCCAATTCCAAATCCGAAAACAAAGATTGAAAGGCAGCAAAAACTAATAAGAGAAGAGATAATCAAAGGATTGAGATTAGGGAAATGGATCAGATGTTGAACAAGGTGGGCACCTACTGGGTCGGCCATAAGGCCGAGAAGCAACTCGATTCCGTCGGCAACGAAATCGAAGTATGCTTTTCTTTTCTTCGTTTCCTTGCCTCCTCTTCAATTATTTTCATCTTCATTTTGGTCAACTTCCTCCCTGCTAGCTATAATTCTTTCATTTTCATATTTGTTCAATGTAATAAGCAAAGACAAGTCCCCTCCCCTGGAAAATTTAATCCTAGGAATGATTAAAAATAAATGCTGGGCAATCTGCATTTAATTTTCATTTTTAACTTTAACATTAACCTAATTAGCTGTTGGTTATTATAATTTCAAGGGTAAATTATGTATTTAGTCTTCCAACTTTTATTATATTTTTATTACTCATATAACTTTTAAAAAAATTGATTTGATCAAAAGAACTCTTTTGAAATTCGTCTTGTTTTTCACCCACCAACCTTTAATTGTGTAAAGATAGTACTAAAATATTGTATTTTAGGTATTTCATTGTATAAAGTTAAGCTAATGTTTTCATAGTTTGATTCGCAATCTTCATTGTCTCTATTCAATGTTGAACCGAAATATATTGTTTTTCTCCTCCTTAATTGTTAAATTATTTAGATTTTTTAAAGAAAAATAATCTAGCATCAAGTCTGAAAATTTGAGAGTAAGAAAAATGTTTCAGGGTGTTTCACAGAAAATTACAAAAAAAAAGATATTAAATATTTAATAATTGAGTGATAAAAAAGAAAAAACTAAATAGTTTGATAAAAAATAAAGAAAATAAAGTTGAGTGATCTAAAAGATATACAAAGTTAACTGACCAAAAACGTAGTTGAGCATAATCAATTATTTTTAAAGTGAAAAATAACAGCGCCTCATCAATGAATTAGAAACGGCAATAGATCTGCTTTAATAATAAAGCAGCATCTATTACAAACAGACGTTAACACTAGGTTTTTTTTTTCAACAGTTATTTTCTTTTGTCAGATATATATATAATACAATCTTCATTGAATTCATAATGGGTAGCCCTTGAGTTGTGCATTCGTTTGTTTATTAACTTCATACTGACATATATCGGTTTCCTCCTTATAATCAGCAAATCTCAAACACTATCGAAGGAGGAACCAAATGGCTGGTTAATAAAATCAAAGGTTTGTCTTTATCCATACTGAATTTTGAAACATACATATATGTAGAGATGTGCAGTTCACTGCTTGTAGGGATGGATGAGGGAGTAGGGTTGTTCATTCGGTTAATTTGGTTACCGATTGAACCGAATTTTCGTTAACTGAATTAACGAAATTTTAAAAAAAAAATAATTGAATCGATTTTTAAAAAAATATGAATCGAACCGAGTAAAATTCGGTTAATTCGGTCGATGTCTGAATTAATTGAATTTTAATTAGATTAATTTAAAGTTAATAGAGTTTTTTTATTTGAGTTAAAAATTAATTAGGTCTTAATAATTTAATAGGTTTAGTGTGGTTAAAAAATAATTAAGTCTTAATTCTTAATAGATTTGAACTTAAAATATGTATCTAATATATATAATATATTTGATATTTAATATTTTTGGTTAATTCGATTAATTAACCTATTTCAAATCAAATTAATTGTTAGCTAAATACTGAAAAAAAATATTAACTATTCTCCTACCGAATTAATTTGGTGACCAACTGTTTTAATCGAACCAATTCAGTTCGGTCGGTTAATTCTGTTAAAACCGAAAAATAAACACCCCTAGGAGGGAGGCTAATGGGACAATCATCCCTCTAAAAATTTAAATTTTCATATAATTTAAATATTTTTTGTATTTTTTATTGATAATATGTTTTTTCTTCTTAAAATTTTAAAAGCTCTCCCATAACGTAAAATCTTATGTCCCTCCTATTGTTGTGCTTTAAAGAATGTGTTTAGCTTTAGATAATGAGGTAATTAAGTCCAAGTACCGGGTCTTCCAGGGAATTTTAGCAACAAATGAAGCTAAGACTTGAGAACCAAAGTTCACATCTTGACGGCATTATTCATTAGCTAAAAGTACATCAACCTCTAAAATTGTGTTTAAATTAAGGTCATGGGATTTGAAGACCACCTTTACTCTCTATTTGAGCATCAAGACGTGCAGTGGAATGTAGTGCATCTCCCATAAGTTTGGCCCCAAAGATTGTCATGGTCACGGACATTTTGTCTTTTTCAGGGACAATACAAAAGCCATTGCCGGAGCTGTTAAAAGAGTATGAGCTGCCGACAGGTGTCTTCCCTCGCGATGCCACCAACTACGAATTCGATGAAAAGACGGGGAAGCTTACGGTCTTCATCCCGACAATATGTGAAGTGGGATACAAGGACTCATCCGTGCTGCGCTTCTTCACCGAAGTGAGTGGGAATTTGGAGAAAGGGAAGCTAACAGAAATAGAGGGTATGAAGACGAAGGTGATCATATGGATAAAAGTATCTGCCATCGCATCTGATGGATCGAAGCTGTATGTCACTGCTGGAATAACCAAAACCAGGAGCAGAGATGCGTACGAGGTTTCCAGGGATGGTATAGGTGTTGATAAGTTCTAGACTTGTTAACTATGCCTATGGGAAACACCACTTTGTTACACTATAACTCCTCTCATTGCCTCCCAGCCTTTGTGCTAAGTGATCACTCCGTTCTACTTTGAAGGTTTGTAAATGCCGTGTTCATGTTATTTCTGTTGAATTGCCACATTAAGGTCATGTTCCTCATTGCTTTTCAAATTACTTTTTTGAAGTCAACAAAAATTCTCTACCATGCTTTTCAAAAATAATAAAGAATAAACCCTAGGTTGAGGTTGAACCTTGAGTATTGACATGTTATATAATGGATGGAAGGTGCTTTAGAGCTTGAATAGGCAGATTATATATAATTATGCATGTTAAATTGCCAAGATTTCGGTGAAAGGAACTGTTATCAAATTTTGTTGTGGAGCCATATACTTGAAATCCCTTCTTTTTTCTTTTTTGAGAGAATGAATGGGATACCATTCAATTCACCCGCCCTAAACCCACAACAATCATCATATATACAGTCCTTTGATTTTGAAAAAAATGAATTTAATCAACATATATACTGTCGAGGGTTATAGATGAGACTATAAATTTGATATTTCTTCTATTTGCAAGTTGTTTGATTTTGGAAAAATGAATTTAATTCGATTATTATTGAGTCAAATTTGAACTCGAAACTTAAATTATTAAGTGAGACTAAGTATCCTAATATTGTCTAATTAAATCAAAAAGAAAGAGAAAATCAAATATTGAAATGTATCAAATTGTTTAACTTTAAAAGATAAAGGCTTATTATTAACTATTTAACATCAAAATCTAGGAGGACAAAATCTAATTGGGTAAAGTACACAAATGATCCCTCGATTATAGGGTGCAGCTTTATTGAGTCTCTAACTATTAAACGTTACAAAATGACCCCTTGACTATAGGATACTATTTATTGAGTCCCTCGACTATCAAAACTAGCAAAATGGTTACTCAACTATTCATATGTTCCAAACTCATCCTTTTTCATTAAAAATTTGATGGTCATTTGAGCTGGACTTTAACCTATTAACTAGAATATGCTAAAAGCATATTTTAATGATGTCTACTAACATTGTTGTTACTTTCAAGCACTAGCTCGACTGTATGATGTTTCAAGCACTAACTCAAGGACAAAATATAAACAAAGATTCGATCCACAAAATACAACTCAAACGGTTTTGGGATCATATTTTATCTTAACTCAATTAACATGTTAACATCTAGGTCAAATGACTGCCAACTTTTTAACGAAAAATGACGAGTTTGAAACATATGAATAGTTGAGTGACCATTTTGTAACTTTTAATAATCAACGGACTCAACAAAACAATGCCCTATAGTCAAAAGACTATTTTGTAACTTTTAATTGTAGAGAGACTCAATAAAAACCACCTATAATCGAGAGACTATTGTGTACTTTACCTAATCTAATTTAACTAGTGTAAAAGTGTATAAACTTTCAAGGATTTAAAATGTCATTGGACAAAAAAAATTAAGAGAAAACTTATTTAACTCCGTCACAACCGAGCTATTTATTAATAATGTATTCTTAAATATATACTCTTGCTGACATGTTATGTTGAAAATGAACTTTTAAAATTTTAAAAATAAACGAATTTTCAAAATTTTAAAAATAAATGAACTTTCAGTTGTCTTAAATTAAGAAAATTATAATTTTAAATAAAAAGGTAAAATTTGATCCTGATTACTTACCTTAGATTGATTTGAAAATATCCTTAAAAAATCGAGAAATGTGTTAGATAAACAAGGTAAAGAAAACAAATAAGATAAAAAGAATAAAATAAAAGGAAAAAAATAAAATAAATAAATAAGATAAGGAAAAAAATAGTAAAGTAATAATTATATATAGTAATATTTGAAAAAGGAAAAAATATATATATACATCAAAGTATTAATAAAATAAATAAGTTATATATATATACAACAAATATTTAAAAATAGAAAAGCTACCCTCTCACTTCACCGAAAGTGGGGGGCTTTAGTCAGAAATAAGACAAAAAGAGGAAAGTGGGAGAGACTTTAGTTAGAAAAAAAATAAAAAAATGGGCCCTCTAAGTTAGTATTATATAATATAATGTTTAATAATAATAATGATAAAGACACAAGATTTTTTAAAAAATAATATAATAATGAATAAAAAACGAAAATAATAAAAAATAATATATATATATATATAAAGTTATAAGATATATTACGTAAATAAAGAAATAATCAAATAAAAATAATTAAGAATATATATATATTAATAATAGGTATATAAATAAACTATTAAAAGTATAAAAAAATATACAACTAGATAAAGATAATTACAATATATATAGTAATAATAGACTTATAAGTAAAATATTAAATAAATATATATATAATAAAATAGTAAAAAATCAAATGAAAATAATTTAAAATATATATATACGTATAATAATAACATGAATAATAAAAATAAATGAATAAAATATCCATATAATAAATAAAGGGACTAATATAGATTTTTAAAAATCTCTTCCCCTCCTTTAACCGAAAATCAAACCGGTTTTTCAAAATAAGCCTCGGGGAAGCGTAGATCTAATAGAAAAGATCTCGGTTCCCTTGTGTTCATCGGCCCTTTCAAAGTAAAAACGAAAAAGAAGAAGTGAATCAAGCCACATGCAAGCGAGAATCGAAGCAATATAGGTAAAAATACCTCTTTTATTTCTCTGTTGAAAATTACAAGCGAATCTTTGGGGCTTATTGCATATTTGCTTTGGGTATTTTTGTGTGTGCGTAATCCCGTATGATAATCTTGTGTCCTGGTGTGGTAATTACAAGGCTTATTTATAGTACTAAAAAACCCTATTTTGGACTAGTATTTGAGTCCTAATCCAACTCTATTTTAGATTAGTATTTGAGTCCTAATCCAACTCTATTTTAGATTAGTATTTGAGTCCTAATCCAACTCTTCTTTTTTGGTTACATGAAGACTCCTCGGTTAGCAGGAAAAAATATGGTGTCTTCAGTTGCCCCTCTTTGCTCATTATCGTGTAACGAAAATGGAGAAAAGATTACAAGACACAAATTTTGTCCACATCGAATATCCTCTGTTGTAGAGTTGAAATCATTATGAGGTTGAGTCAAAATTGGAAAATTCTGAGCACGAAATCCTTTGTCGTGAAGTTGAAAACGAGCTCAAAGCTTTTGACAAGTGGCCTCTGAATCGTCTTCTGGCTCAAGATACTTCGTCGTGAAGGTGGAACTTGAATTGAAGACTTTGGTATTGTGATGTTATAGATGACCCCTTCATCGTGAAGTTGAGTCAATCCGTTGGGGTATGATACCCTTCGTTGTGAAGTTGTATATGTATATGGCCCCTTCGTCGTGAAGTTGAGCATGAGAATTGGATATCCTTCGTCGTGAAGTTGAAATCCAAGTAGGTTGTATTGTTCCGAGTCCAATATCCTCCGCCGTGAAGTTGAAATTGGCTCTGGAACTGGAAAATTGTTTATTCACAGCCAACCGCCCCTTCGCTGTGAAGTTGAGCTTGTGCTGTATTGAGTCTAATATCCTTCGATGTGAAGTTGAAATTGACCCTGAAATTGGGAAATTGTTTGTTGACAACCAGCCATCTCTTCGTTGTGAAGTTGAACTTGTGTCGTCTCGAGTCCAATATCCTTCGTTGTGAAGTTGAAATTGGCTCTGAAATTGGGAAATTATTTGTTGACAACCAGTCATTCCTTCGTTGTGAAGTTGAACTTGTGGTCTCAAGTCCAATATCCTTCGATGTGAAGTTGAAATTGACCCTGAAATTGAGAAATTATTTGTTCATAACCAGCCGTCCCTTCATTGTGAAGTTGAACTTGTGTCGTCTCGAGTCCAATATCCTTCGCTATTGGCTCTGAAATTGTGAGATTGTTTGTTGACAACCAGTCGTCCCTTCGTTGTGAAGTTGAACTTGTGTTGTCTTGAGTCCAATATCCTTCGCTGTGAAGTTGAACTTGTGTTGTCCCGAGTCCAACATCCTTCGATATGAAGTTGAAATTAGTTCTGAAATTGGGAAATTATTTGTTGACAACCAGCCGTCCCTTCATTGTGAAGTTGAACTTCTGTTGTCTTGAGTCCAATATCCTTTACTGTGAAGTTGAAATTGACTTTAGCTAAAATCTATCTGGAATCTTGAAGTTTCAATCCCTGGTCTTGAATTCTTCAAATATTCAAATCTGATGTTTGTTATTCTTGATCTGAGAAATACTTCTCGATCAACTCAAGTATGTGCATGAGCCTTGATCGGCTTCCGAGTACCTTTACTTTTCAATGAATCTTTGTATAGTAATATACGAATATCTTTTGCATAAGTAAATAAATCATTAAGCTTAAGCTCAATCCAAGATGCTCAAAAGGAATTGGTCTAGAGAAGAATATTATCCTTTATTCATGGGAAAAAAGAACAAATAATACATGACAAACATTCTAGAAGGTGAAGATATGACGAGGTGTAAATGAATGTCTTAGATTTCAATAATGTGGGCACTTCCGAGCTAAAAAGCCGTTAGGTGACCTTGAATACAGTCTTTGCCAAAGGATCTTTGAAAATGCGACAACATTCAGGAGAGTGCAACCTTTCTCCGACTTGTTGAGTCTGTGGGAAATTCAGATGCTCGGGAGTTTCAACCATCTGGATTCCTTGAATTATCCAAATCGCCCTTTTGGGTTTTCAATTTGGACCCATACTTGGTTGCAAGACGCCCTTTGCGGGTTTTCATCTTGAACCTACCTTTTTGTTCTTTCTCTTTTTCTTTTGTTCTTTTTTCTCTTTTTCATTTTTTTCAATTTAGGGCGCCCTTTCGGATTTTCACCCTAAATGTTTTTCCTTCTTTTTTTCCGACTTAGGATGCCCTTTCAGGTTTTCATCCTAAGCGAATTATTTCTTGACTGTATCTGAATTGATAGGATATGGCAGGTTAGGTCCGTCCATTTCAGCCAGGACAAGTGCCCCCCCGGGAAAGGCCTTTTTC